TGAGGCGGAAGGATGGCCGGAGCCCAGCAGGTCGAAGCTGCAGTGACCGGGAGCGGCCACTGCACTCTAGTCTGGGTGACTGAGACTCCAACTCAAAAGAAATAAAAAATAAAATAAAATAAACATTCAATAAACTTTTTTTAAATGAGTGAGTCCAGGACTCCTTTACACTCTTAAAAATTATTGATGACCACAAAATATTTTTTGTTTATGTATGTTATGCCTGTCAATATTTACCATGTTAGAAATTAGAGCTTTTTTTTTTTTTTTTTTTGAGTCTTGCTCTATCACCCAGGCTGGAGTGCAGTGGTGTCATCATAGCTCACTGTAGCCACCAACTCCTGGGCTCAAGTGATTCTCCCACCTTGGCTCCCAAAGTGCCAGGATTGCAGGCATGAGCCACCACACCCAGCCAGAAGTGAAAATTTTTCAATATGTGTTTATTAATTCATTCGTTATTCATAACAATATGCCCATTCGTTACATAAATATTTTTATGAGTAATAATTATATTTTCCAAAACAAAAAATATAGTGATGTTAAGTATAAATTTTATATAAATATAAAATGTAAAATATATTTTACATTTTTGTAAATCTCTGGCTTAATAGAAAACAGCTGGATTCTCATATGTCCTTCTGCATTAAATCCGTTGCCCTGGATTAAATTCGACTCTGAAAAACTTCACTGTACATTCATGAGAAAAATGAGTGCAAATAAAGCAATAGCAACTTAACATTATTATGGAAACTTTTCTCTGTGTTTTTAAATTTTTTTTAAAATTTTTTTAGAGATGGGGAGAGGGCCTGCTATGTTGCCCAGGCTGGTCTCGAACCACTAATCTCAAAAGATCCTCCCATCTGGTTTCACAAAGTACTTGGACCATAGGCTTGAGCCACTGCTCCCGGTCTTGATCCCACGGTGGACCCCTTGAAAGGCGCACTTTGGAGAATCACTGGAAGGAAAACTTTATTTTTGGACAAGATTTATGCTTCAGGATTACGCTCCACATTGCTGGCACGAGAACGGTCAGGATGAAAGAGTAGCACGGAAACGGTGGGGACAGACTTTTCCCTTTCTTTTTTTCTCTAGTGCTAACAGTTTTGCCGTAACCCAAGATGACAACCCTCTCTCATGCTTCAGTCCGTACAATGACGTCACACAGCGACGGCGATGCCATTTCCTCCGGGAGTTTCCGCTACATTTCCCAGGATGCTTTGCCACAGCGACACCATTGGTTGACGTCGACGGAAGTGTCCCTGACTAAGCGGAAGTGGAAGGTCCCAGAGACTAGAAAGGTGGAAACGGGAGGCGCTGTGAGGTTGTGAGTATCCGGGTGCGTCTGGCGGCTCGCTGGTGAGGAACGAAGCTGGGGAGTCATTCGCGGGGAAGCGCGGGGGGCACTTCTCTAACCCGGGGAGCGCAAACTCCTGTGTTCTCCTACTAGACCTGGGAACGAACAGAAACAAGACTTTGCTGGGGAGGCGAGGTCTCCGTATTACGACTTTGCTGTTTTTAAGTTTTCTTGGAACAAGTTACGGTGAATTCGCGACATAAGGGTCGTTGGCGTGATTTGGCTGCGACCAGAGGACCGGGGTTCATGGTGTGACTCAGCTTGTAGAGCAGTGGCTCGCAATTGGCTGCACGTTAGAATCACCTGCGATGCTTTTTTGTTTTGTTTTGTTTTGTTTTTTGAGGCAGATGCTCTTGCCCGACGCCAGACCAATAAATCCAGTCTGGGCAGTGGTATTTTCCCAGGCATTTCTAGTGTTCTGTTGTGTAGCTAGGATTAAGGTCACCCTTTTAGTGCCTGATTCTGACCCTCATGGGACACTGATTAGGATCACCTGCGCCAGGGCTCCTCTGCCACTATACACTGCGTGGGCTCTACCACGAGCATTTGGATTGAGATGATAATCACAATTTTGGCACGGATTCTATTTTGAGCTCCACCAGATACTTATTTTGGGCTTCCTGTGTTGGTGCTGGAAAGACGACGTTGTTTCTTATTCACGCCTTGGTCGTTCTAGGACCGCTTCGTTTTTCTTGCCACTGTTTTAGTTTCTGCTACCCAGACAAAACGTGAGCAGTAGAACGAGGAAGAACCACATTAAAATTCGTGTCTTTTGTTGTTTATTAGAAGATCTGGTCCCTGATTTGACCAGTAAAGGGTTAGCAGTTAAAATGACGTTTGGCATTATTTATGGGCTTATGGTAACCTAATTTTTATCATCAGTTCCAGTGAAAGGGAGTTTGGGTGTGGTTTTGACTGTGATGCAGAGGTTTGTATAGGTATGAAAAGCAGACTTTAAAAAAAAAAAAAAAGCACTATTACATAGTAGATTTTTTTTTTCTTTCCCAGTGCTTCAGCATCGCCTCCCTCACTGAACATGGGGGAGAAGTCAGAGAACTGTAGGATTCCAGAGGATCTGATCAATAGTTTGAAGGTTACAGATACTCAGGAAGCAGAGTGTGCTGGCCCTCCATTTCCTGATCCCAAAGGTCAGCATTCCCAGAGTAAGCTCAGAGATGATGAGGCCCATCCCCAGGAGGACCAGGGAGAAGAGGAGTGTTTTCATGACTGCAGGGCCTCATTTGAGGAGGAGGAGGCAGGAGTGGACAAGGTTGAGAACAAACCTAATGATGATGTGAATTCCTCTGAACTAGATGAAGAATACCTCATAGAACTGGAAAAAAACATGCCAGTTGAAGAAAAACAGGTAACTTTTTATTGTGCACAATCTACCACTTAAACTGCTTTTAAAAATAAATGTAGTCGGTATTGTATCATAAACCACTTTATCTGTGGTAAAGAATAACTTGTCCATTTATCTTGTTACTTTAATAGTGATGGATCTGAGATAAAACAGTAGCATTACAGGAAGCATTAAGTGTGTTTAGTAAATAAATTTCCTATTTTCCTGTGAGCTTTAAGTTCTGTGTTCATCGTATACTTCGGGAGTCTGTAACATAGCAGTCCTGGCTAGGTGTAGCGACTCACTCCTGTAATTCCAGCATTTTGGTAGGCTCCAGCAAGAGGATTGCTTGAGGCTAGGAGTTTGAGACCAGCCTGGGCCATATACATAGCAAGAACCCATCTCTACAAAATTTTTTAAGAAATTAGCAGTTTTTTTTCTTAATTATTTTCAACGTGTGTGTGTGTGTGTGTGTGTGTGTGTGTGTGTGTGTGTGTACCTTTTAGCCTCTACAAAATTTTTAAAGAAATTAGCAGTTTTTTTCTTAATTATTTTCAACGTGTGTGTGTGTGTGTGTGTGTGTGTGTGTGTACCTTTTAGCCTTTTTTTGGTTTTTTTTTTGAGTTGGAGTCTCACTGTCACCCAGACTGGAGTGCAGTGGCCGCTCCCGGCCACCGCAGCCTCGACCTGCTGGGCTCCAGCGATCCTTCTGCCTCAGCCTTCCAAGTAGCCAGAATTACAGGCATGCGCCACCACGCCCAGCTGATTTTTTGATTTATTGTAGAGATGAGGTCTCGCTGCCCAGGCGGGTCACAAACCCACGGGCTCAGGCAATCCACTCACCTCAGCCTCCCAAAGGCGCGGGATTACAGGCTGAGCCAGCGAGCCCAGCCTTTTAGCTTTTTTAAAAATGACCTTTTGTTGGCTGCTGAAATGTCTGTAATTAACATTTTTTGTATGACTATTTAGTATTATGATATGCTTCCTGTTTATGCTACTCCCTTGTTTGCAAAATATGACTGCCTGAATGTGTTGGTAGTGTTTGGTTACAGAGGGCAGTGACTGAGTCTGGAGGGTCAGAATTGTATATGATAGTAGCTATCCTTTGTTGAGCACCTACAGTGTGCCAGCCTCTGAGCTTAAAATGTTACATGTGTTTTCATTTAATCTTCACAACACACCTAGGTGGTAAATGCTATTATCTTTCCCTATAAGGGAACAGAGATTACACTTGTTAAGTAACTTGCCCAAGATTAAACACCTGATAAATGGTAGAACTGATTGTCAATCCAGATATGTTTGACTTCATAAAAAAAAAAGCGAAAGTATAATTTAGAACTTAGTAACAAAAACATGTGTCTTCCTGCAAAGCAGATAGAGTAATAAAATATACAGTCTTTGCCGGGTATTGTGGCTCATGCCTATAATCCCAGCACTTTGGGAGGCCAAGGAGAGAGGATCACCTGAGCCCACGGGTTCGAGACCAGCCTGGGCAACTGGCGAGACCTCATCTCTATAATAAGTCAAAAAATTAGCCTGACATTGTAGCGTGTGCCTGTAGTTCCAGTTACTTGGAAGGCTGAGGTGGAAAGATCGCCTGAGTCCAGCAGGTTGAGGCTATGGTGGCCATGAGTGTGCCACTACACTCCAGCCTGGACGACAGAGTAAGACTCTGACTCAAATATATATATATGAAGTCTTTCCAGGCATGGTGGCTCACGCCTGTAATCCCAGCACTTTGGGAGGTTGAAGTGAGAGGATTGCCTGAGCCCAGGCGTTCGAGACCAACTTGGCGAGACTTTGGCTCTACAAAAAATTAACCGGGCATGGTGGTGCATGCCTGAAGTTCCAGCTACTTGGGAGACTGAGACAAAAGACTCGCCTGAGCCTAGAGATAGAGACTTCGGTAGCCATGAGCATGCTACTACACTCCAGCCTGGTGACAGAGTGAGACTCCAACTCAAAAAAAAAAAAATACATATATATATGCATTAAATGTACAATCTTCTACTTTGCCCCTGGGCCACATACTTAGCTGGGCAAGGCTTCATTTTTGGAGACAGAAGTGTTGCTGTTCTCCACTTGTCCTTCCTTCTGATCTCACAAGCAAGATAGTCTCTTAAGATTTACCATAGTGCCTGAGTTTGTCTGCAAAGAACTTGAATGAGTTGGGCGCAGTGGCTCACATCTATAATCTCAGCACTTTGGGAGGCCGAGTTGAGTGGATTGCCTGAGCCCACGGGTTTGAGACCAGCTTGGGCAACATGGAGAGACCTCATCTCTACAGTAAATCAAAAAATTAGCTGGACGTGGTGGCACATGCCTATAGTTCCAGCTACTAGGAAGGCTGATGTGAAAGGTTCTCCTGAGCCCAACAACTCCACTCCAGCCTGGGCAGCAGAGTGAGACTCTGACTCCAAAAAAAAAAGAGTAGAATGTGATTGAAAGTGTAGCTATATCACTAAAGAGCTCACTCACTGAACAGGTTGTGATAGATTGATAAGGGGTTGACATAATAAGTGTGCTGCATAACAGTGGGGTTGGGGAGGAGCGTTTTTATTTTTTCTTGGGCACTTTTTGTTATCACATCGCTTAGCTTTAATGTGAACGTGTTTGCTTTTGTGCTAATGTGTATGTGCAAAAGAAGAGGTTAACAGGCAAAAATAAACCAAGTTCATAAACTCTCAACAAATATGTCTCAGAATATTAAATTAAGTACTAACGTTAGACAAATGATCTTCCAGAAAGTGACTCTGAGTTCAGATTTCAGGCTTTTTAAAAACACTGATTAAACATCTGTGTTGAAAAGTTAGCAGTGCTTTTCTAATACTTTTAACATATAGAAAATTCATAGTGAATTTTCTAGTGCCCTTTAGGTTTGACAATTGAGTGGTTTGGCTCAAAGTGTCACATACTCTGCTCCCCACCCCTAATTTGGTAAAACTTTTATTTCTTTAACCAGGAAATCATATTTTAAAATCTATAAGCTGGGCTCGGTGGCTCAGCCTGTAATCCCGCACCTTTGGGAGGCTGAGGTGAGTGGATTGCCTGAGCCTGCGGGTTCGAGACCCACCTGGGCAGCGAGACCTCATCTCTACAATAAATCAAAAAATCAGCCAGGCGTGGTAGCACATACCTGTAATTCCGGCTACTTGGAAGGCTGAGGCTGAAGGATCGCCGGAGCCCAGCAGGTCGAGGCTGTGGTGGCCGGGAGCGGTCACTGCACTCCAGTCTGGGCGACAGAGTGAGACTCCAACTCAAAAAAAAAAAAAAAAAACTATAAGTACTTGTAAGGTAATTATTTTTATTACCTGTAAATATGTTTCACTATATGCAGATTATATCTCAATTTTAATTTGCATATAGTGAAACAGTATTATCAGTTCGAATGTGTGCTGCTTAGTGAGCTGACAACGTATATACCTGTGTATCTCATGGTCCTATCCAGCTATAGAGCATTTCTGTCGTGTCAGAAACTGTCTTGTTGCTTTGCCAGTAATTCTTTCCCACCCCTACCTGTCAGGGGACCACTGTTCTGATTCTTATCCTCTGGGTGGTTTTTTTCTGCCCAGTCATATAAATATTATCACAGAGTAGTATTCACATTTAAAATATAAATAGTTTCTGTTATTTTATATTTTGTATATTATTCTAAATGTTTCATAGCTTAATTTGAAAATAGGTAAGAACATCTCATAGCAATAACAGACTGCAATGCTAGTCCTATTATTTAGAATAGTAGAAACCACTAACTCCACATTAAGGAAACAGCCTATGAGAGTGCAGATGGTGCTACTCTTCTATTAACTATTTCTATGCCATTGTGAAAAATAGCTTTGTGAAATTATCATCAAGAAATCAACAAAACATCTGAAGAAATGTCTTCACTGCATATATGGTTTCATTTTTATAGGTCATTGGGAACAGGATTGTGTTACACTTTGTTTTTTTCAGAGACAGGGTCTTACTGTGTGAATTCCTGAGCCCAAGTGGTCCTGCTACCTGAGTAGTAGCTAGGACTACAGGCATAGTTTTTTTGGTTTTTGTTTTTTAATTTTTTTGTAGAGGTGGGGAGAGCTTCCTGTGTTACCCAGGGTAGTCTTGAACCCCTAGCTTTAAACAGTCCTCTTGTCTTGACCTCCTAAAGTATTAGGATTATAGGTGTAAGCCACCTGGCCATTTGATAAATAGATCAAGCTTAGATAGTTCAAAAAGAAACACAAATGGCCAAAAAATATGAAAAGATTTTAAACCTTACTAATTTTTAAAATGCAAATTAAAGCATTATGTCTTATCTATCAGATCAGAACCTTGATCCAATGTTGACAAGAGGAGGACATAGGAACTTATGTGCTAGTGTTGCGAATTTGCATTGCTACATTATTTCTGGGGGATACAGATTCCAAAATTTTATATGAATGTTTCTTTAGACTGGGTTATCAGTGGCACCTTCTGCAGTGATGGGAACGTTCTGTATCTGCCCCTTTCAGTGTGGTAGCCATGACTACATCTAGCTGTTAAGCTTTGAAATATGGCTAGTACAGCTGAGGAACTGAATTTTATTATAATTAAATGGTCACATGTGACTAGCAGATACCATATTGGACTGCATGACTTTAAACCCCCAATTCTCTTCTACCCATTTATTTTAAGGAAATAGAGATATGTACAAATGTCTATACCTAGAGGTCTTGCAGCATTATTCATAATTTTGGAAAACTAGAAAATGTTGAACAGAGGATATTAATGGTGTAACAAATATAATTTGTCTTTGTCCCTGGTCCCTGTCACAGAGCCCCTTAAAACCCCTGCAATTTTCTAAGTGATAGAGTGTCTTTTGTTATTCATAATGAGCCACTTTGGATAACACCTGGGTTTATGCTAATGTAACTTCTAGAGTGTGTCCTATAGATAGCCTAAAGGCAAAGTTACTAGAAGCTTAGAGGGTTAGAACTTTCAGCTCCATCTACCAAACTCCTGGCAAGGAGAAGACAGGCCATGAGATGTAATGGAGATAAAGCTCTGTAAAAGAAAACTCTTGAACAAGAAATGAGCCCCTTTCATAATCTTATTATTCAGGAAACAGCCTTGCATACATATCTGAAATAATGTGCTCTCACACACACTGTTTAAAGGCAAAGCATCGTGGTAAAGCTGATCAGCTGTCCAGAGTTCGCAGCTTATGGAATCTTGCTTCCTGATGACATTAATTTCTGAAAACCAGAAATGTTACCTCCCAAAAATGTTAAGGGGGTTGTAAAAAATAATTACCTTATTCAATATTATAGATATGGAGTATATGTTCTTTAAGAAATGAAAAACTAGCTGGGCTCGGTGGCTCAGCCTGTAATCCCGTGCCTTTGGGAGGCTGAGGTGAGTGAATTGCCTGAGCCCGCGCCTTCGAGACCCGCCTGGGCAGCGAGACCTCATCTCTACAATAAAAAATCAAAAAAATTAGCCGGGCGTGGTAGCGCACACCTGTAATTCCAGCTACTAGGAAAGCTAAGGCGGAAGGATCGCTGGAGCCCAGCAGGTCGAGGCTGTGGTGGCTGGTAGCGGCCACTGCACTCCAGTCTGGGCAACAGAGTGAGACTCCAACTCAAAAATAAAAATAAAATAGAAATAGAAATGAAAAACTGCCAGACTTGGTGCCTCAGCCTGTAATCCCGTGACTTTGGGAGGCTGAGGTGAGTGGATTGCCTGAGTCCATAGGTTCGAGACCCGCCTGGGCAACTTGGCGAGACCTCATCTCTACAATAAATAAAAAAATCAGCCAGGTGTGGTAGCGCACGCCTGTAGTTCCGGCTACTTGGAAGGCTGAGGCGGAAG